TTTATGAAACTGGAAATTTACTTGCTTGTATTTTAGTTATTTGAAATTTTTCCTTTTTACAAGCTGTACAAAATAGTCTTAAAAGGTTTAATATTACATAAGCTTTCCTAACTTTGTTCATAACTTTGTGCCTCGAAATTATTATAAGAAAATTTTTAGTCCAAAGGGGATTTGTCCTTGAAGGACTATTGTTTTCGTTTTGCGATTTTGCGTTGAATCACTATAAATGTCCGTTTCACTTTTCAAACTGTTGCGACCAAATGTCAGAGTCCTGATTATATTGAAGAAATTAAATAATGAAGAATCTTCATGAATGTATGCATGTTTCTCACATTGTGAAAAAACAACGGTACCTAGAGCCATCAGATTTTGAAAACGTAGTCCTCCACCCGAATATTAGTACTTGGAAGAACGAATTTTAAATTTTAATTTGTTTTATTATTTATTTCATATTTTGCAAAACTTTAACGAATTTTGGTAACAATCAACGATTTGAAAGCGAGCAATGGCAGCAATCTACGGGGGGGGGAGGCCTTTTTATCTCGAGCGCGCGGAATTGTGTATCGCAAATCTAAAGATAGACTCTTTTAAAATTATTTTGCGACCATGCTATTCACTGAATTTATGGTTTAGCGAGGAAGAACATGATATTTAATAAATAAGGTAACACAAAAATGTTAAAAACGCTAAATCTGAAGCCTTTCAGTTTTTTTTTATTTTTTATTTATTTATTTATTTATTTTTGAAAATTTTTCGTTATTATGTACCTTAATTTTGGCGTTTGTATGCATTATTATTTCCGCTTTATTCATTAAAGATGAAAAAGAGTTTAACATTGTCTCTTTAAAATTGATTTACGCAAAATGGATTCAGATGAACATAATTATCAACATTATTAACGACGTCAAGAAATTAGGAAAAAATAAATGCTTTAAGGGGTGTTGGAACCCCAAAATCTTCAAAAAATTGTGATTTCGGATTTTTCCATTTTCAAATTCTCTACATTTTTATCTTTCTAAAAATACCATTCTTTAATCTCTCTGAAAATTAGAACTGTAAAAAAATCTAGTTTTAATCTATCAGCTACTGTTTTGATCAATGAGGATTTTTACATAAAAACGCATTTTTCTCCAAACGTGATTTTTTCTCCAAACTCCATGTACCTTTACTACTGCTCACAGGTATCTAAACTTTTTGTGGCTTATTTATTAGGTTCCCTAATATTTACTGAAATGAGCGTTTTGTAATAAACTTAGAAACAAAAAATTTTAATTTTTTTTTTGTGTGTGAGAAAAGTGCTAAATTTTACTATGCCTAACAAAATATTCTGTAATTTACTCTAAAATTCAAAATGCTTCAAAAGCTCATTTCAGTATATTCAGATAGGTATACTTTAATTACAGAAAAAATTTCAAGCTTTTATCTACAGCAGATTTTGAGAAAAGGTACATTGAAAATGGCCAATTTAACATTGTCGGCGTAGGGGTTTCTGATACCCCTTAAAAAATGTAGATTAATGGTTAAAAAAGTTAATTAATGGTTAAAAAATTAATGGTTTAAAATGTAGATATTAATTTTCTAGATAAACCTATAAAATAAACCTTAATTTAATTGTCATTACTTTTAGCTATTAATGTTTTTGCGTTTACTTCATTCTAAGTTAACATTTCGGCTAATCATATTGTTTTCCTTATAATCACTCGAATATTACGCAGTTGATTTAACAGAAATTTAATTTTTATTATTAATATACTTTTTATTTGTAATTTGGACATTTCTATACTCAACACCATCAAAGCAACAGATATTAATACGTATTGCTCTATCATTTCTATGAAACTCTTCTCAAGCATACTTTTTACTTGCATAGTGAATTATTATTTCTTGATATACTAAAAACGTCTCGCATCTTTCGTTTTCAGAATAGCGAATGCACTATGCAGGCTATTTTTATTTATTTATTTATTTTTATAATTTTACTTTTAGTGATTTTTACCAGTCTCCATGTAATTAACATACAAAGAAAATGGATTTGAAATATACTGTGGAGATTGTAATAATTTGTAACTGATTTTTAACAAATTACATACAGATAGCTGCATTACTAAAGAATGTTTATATCAAATATTTTTCTTCCCAGATTTATAATACAGTATTTTGAGGACATTTCACTATAAAATATTTTAATATATTTATTACATTGTTTATACTTTAATGATAAACATTGTTAAAATATTAATTAAATTATTCCCTATATGAAACTGAGTTTTTGTTTTCTACAGTTTAACTTATAATGTGACTTAAAGTTTTAATTTAGAAATTTTTTATATTCCTTAAAATATACCTTGTTTTCACAAGATAGACGTAAATACGGGTAATTGTTTTAGAAGGGATATAAAAACAATTTTTATTTTTGAATTGGTGCGAATATAAGGAGAGTGGAGCACTTGAATTTGACGATTCTGAGATTTGAGAATTTTTCCAAGCGGGAAAAAGACTTTTCATATAAGATGATCTTAAAAGCCCTCTAAGAAGGCTATTATTTCATACTTGGGTCAGTATGGTGTTCTTTATAAGTTTGTAATCACTACAAGAAATAAAAATACAAAAGCAAATTCAAAAGATAACTAAGGTTTCTTTCCGAAGCTTAGATTTGCGAAAGGTGCAGAATAAGCTAAACTTTCTTTTCATATGGTCAGGAAAGGGAATTTTCCAGTGACTTTCATATTCCATTATATTTACTAAACCATGCGAGAAAGTTGCTTTTAAGCATTTATAATGTAATAATTGCACTTTCAGCAGAATTCCCATAATAGTAAATGAAGATAAACGTATTTAAACTGCATAAAAGCTGCTCATTCTTTTACATTTCAATAGATTCCTTTTTTTGATAAAATGAATTATAAATAACAGATAATTTTGATATTTAACCAGTACAAAAAGCGTTTTGTATTGAATATTTAAATCACTTCTCCCTATATAGTTATTACACAAGGTTTACAGAGGTAAGTAAAAAAAAAAAAAAAAAAAAAAAAAAAATACAACAACGCAACAGAAAATAAAATAAACTTACAAATTCACAAATGACACGTAAGAGATAAATCTACAGAAGAAAGAGAATGCAATTTTATCTTGAACAAATGCATGGAGAGTGGGGAAATATAATGTTCACAGAGTTTAAATTAGAAATGAGTTCTTTTTGTCCTTCCATAAGCTTTGAACAATAGAACAACAAATGAACATTTTGCACCCTCCCGAAGCTGCACGAACACACATCAGTACTACATAACCCATATCTCTTCAGATATGAGTTGAAATTACCATGTCCGGTTAGAAATTTAGTAATTTTAAAATTGCAGACATTTATTTTTATGATTCAGTCTGTGAACAATGGAAGTAAAAATTAAGTTAGTCAAAAAGGCAGTAGTAGAACTTCTGTATAATTCATTCCATTTGAGTATTGCTTCATCCCTACTTTTTTCCTTGACGAATGACTTAGGTAGTATCATTGGAGAATCAACTTGAAGGTTTGTAGCCTGTTTTGCTAGCCGATCAGCCCTTTCATTTCCTAGATTGCCAGGATGGCCATGTATATAGGAAAAGATGGCATCAACACCTTTATTATTAAGTTCTTTAAGAATGGCATGGAAAGTGACATTTAATTTATTACATGAGAATATATTCATGGGAGAATGTAAAATATGAAAGAGAATCAGTGCAAATAAGAAATTTAGCATTTAACTAATATTTCGTAGATTTCCACTTAATTGACTCATTAATGCACAGTAATTCGGCATGGAAAACATTGAATTCAGTGGGAATTCTAAAGAGTTTGTATTCCAATTCAGAACCATGATGAAAAACGACATAATTTAAATCGATTATTAATTTTACTGCCATCTGTATAACACACAACTGAGAAATTATAATGAATGGAATTGTCATAAATGTTAGTTTGAATTGGCAAACGATCCGCAGGGTGAGGGAGATCTCCAAGGAACACCTTGGCATAGAAAATAAATTTGCTGATGGTATCTTTAAACTTTTTGTCGTTTAAAACATGAAGATCAGTCGGAGGAAACCCCGAAATTGCGAAAGAGGCTTCATAACTAATTGTTCTGTAACCACACGCAGCTCTTACTAAAATTCTTCTTTGAATTCCGCGAAGGATACGAGAACTAATCTTCTTTTCTAGAGCTGTTCCCCATACTCTAGAAGCATAGAAAATAAAAGTGACTATACCCTGCTTAGAAATCATATAAATAACACTAAATTTTAAACAAAGAATATTGCAAGAGATACGATCAAATCCTCTAAGTATGTTTTCGCACTTATAAATAAATAATATGACGTTTCCAGCAAAACTTATGATCAAGAATAATACCTAAATATTACATTTCATTCACCATTTCGATTAAGGTATTATCTAAGTACAATTGTTACTTTGTATAGGTTACATGCATTCTTTTAATTATCCTAATTTTAGATTTATTACTATTTAATCCCAATTTCTATTCTTTGGACCAATAGGAAATTATATTAAGGGTGTTCTGAGCCGTATTAAAGAGAGTATTGGGACACTTCTTTTAAAAACAAATTAGTAGATTATCAGCAAAAGCGATTGTTTTACAACTCGGACAATGCTATAGTCTATTGAGTAGATCATTCGTAATTAAATTTACCAGTAAGGATCCAGAAACCGAGCCTTGAAGTACAAAGAGTTGAAACAATTAGTATTTTATTTCGGGACAAAAACACGTAAAACATACTTAAATTAGATTAGTATAACAGTTGTCTTTCAAAGGAGAATATTTCCATTGAAGCTAAAATAAATGTTTCGTATAAAAGAAAATATATTTATAGGGTATAATCATTGGAACACATACCTAGAATTATTCATATACAAACATCAAAACTAAATCTCTTATACTATGTTTTATGCTTTACTCATATCTGCGCATAACATGTCTTCATTTGTCCTCTTGTCATGAACATGTAACTAAGAAAATATTAGAATGAAAAGCATTAAAGAACCAGAGACTGAATTAAAAAATTTGTGAGCTAGTATATGTTTTATTTTTCAATTAAATATTATATTTTTACATTATATCAAATTACCATCAAGTGGATAAGGCCACTAAACATCACTAGACATCTTGTATTATAGAAAAAAGAAAAACATGTTGAAAATGTATCTATTTGTAATCTCATTTTAGTAAAAAGGAGGCAATGTATCGTGAAAAGATATGCACAGAATATCAAATACAAAAAGAAAACAAAAAGTAAAAAACTGCAGACAAATGGATAAAATCTCTGAAGACTAACGTTTCGCACCTGATAAAATATAATCTCTGAAGTCTGGCTGCGTGAGTTTTCGCGAAATTTCTGATCGTAATAAAGCAGTTCCTCTCAAAAGTTCTTCCCTACAAAAAAAAAAAAATAAATAAAAAATAAAAATAAAAAAAAAAAAAAAAAAAAAAAAAAAAAAGAGAGAGAGAGAGAAAGAAAAAGACTTCCCTTCATAAAATGTCTCAAGTAGCCCTCACGAATTTTACATAATCAACCAAACTTTGCAGAAAATTTTAAAAATTTAGATTAAACTGCTTTTCCCTTTCAATTTATAATATGCTCGACAAATGGCACTATATTTGTTCAGTTCATTTCATCTATTCATTATGTTCTTGAAACACCTACTAGTAAAATAACAAGTATCTCGCTACTAATGCTTTAGAATTTTCTATGTAAAATGCCAACTTAGGACTGATATATAATTGATTTTAAAAAGTCATTTATTGTGTAGTATATAAAATAAAACCAAGAATTAAATATTGTACTTCGTTCAGAATAAGATTTATCTTACCCTTTACGTCTCAAGAATATACAAAACAGGCTTTCTGTTTGGGAGTTTTCAGCACAGGAAACTTGTGCAGTGTAACCGAAGACTATTCAAAAACGCCGTGAAAACACAACGCTCTCGTGATCTGCATAAAATTGCTCAAGCAGCATATTTCCAGAAATATGTACACATTTTAGGCTATATAAACAAAACGCATATGCTTTTATTCTTAAAAAAACATATTCTTTTCTTTTAGGGGCCACGCTGTTTGACTGAAAATTGCCTGTCTAGATTTTGTACAGCAATTTTTAAGACAAATGAAATCTGCTTATACAGATGAACAAACAGCGTAGAGAAGCATTACAATAGTAAATTCGACAAGTTTCCTTACATTAAATTAGGTTTCTAAAAATATAAACAACCTTAAGATTCCAGAAATGTTCATACAAATAATGCAGTTCCGTCACAGAGTAATTCCTAACTTTTCAAATCCGAGTAATTGGAGAAAAGGAAGGAAAAGAACAGGATTGTCCCTTTGGCAAAGAACTCATGAATGAAACGAAAAGACACTTAGTCTTATTCTGATGAATCTTGCAACAGTAGCGGGAAAACGAGGGAATAAGAGGATTTTCCTCAGATGACAATCGGGAAATTCCTTTAATATCGCCATCATTAAGAATTAAAATCTGCTTCTCATTTCGAACTAATCAGGATTACAATAATGAGTTGATGGAAATATGGAAACCGAACTCTTTATTAAAATTAGGCGCAGGAGTTATTTCTGTTTACGTCTCAGATAAACTTTGCAATCATTTATAAGTATGGAGATATTTTGAATATTTCATTTTTATTTCCTGAAATTTAGGACGGAAAGAAAATTACTTGATGTGATTCATTGACACTGTAGATTACCGAAAATTATTTGATATTTTACAGCAAAAATATTTTATGGGAGCATTAGGGTGCAAAAATTGACCTATGGAATAAATATTAAATATAGACAGTCAATGGATGATAGTATATACGAAGTTTACTAATTACAACGTAATAATGCTAAGCAAGACGAAATGCATCAAAGGCTTTATATAAAATAATTAAGAGAGAATATACTTTGTACCTGATTGCTGCAATTTTGTATTGTGAATAGAAAAGAGTTCCGTATAGAATATGCCTTTTACTAAATGTAACTTGTGGAAAACCCTCACTTAAGCGACTTGTCGCCATGTCTAATATGAAACAGAAACTTAAGAAGGGTGTAAGAGAACATTTTATTTAAAACTGAGCATGTTGAACATACATATGAAGCATACATGATGCTTACCAGCCAGCATTTATGCCGTGAACTCAAGATAGAATTTTAAGTTTAAAACTAAATCTAAGATTCTATTAGCCTAAGGCTACACAAAGTAATTGACACGCGGAAGTTAACTCTTAGGCTTACACCAGCGTAATAGCACTATCGGCAAGAATAAAGCAATGCCAGAAATACGAAAGATTAAAAATCCTAGAATGACAGCTAGTAACTTGGCCTTCAGATAGAACACGTTCTGTTTAAACAATTTCAAACCATCGCTTAAATATACGAGGGCGAATTTGAATTCTGGCCAGAAAAGAAAAGGGAGAAGTGACAGTATAGATTCAGAACACAAAATAACTGTTTAATTAACAATAGTGTAAACTCTTTGACTCAACAGAATTTAAAAGTGAGATTTTCAGAGAGATTTTGGTAAGTTAAATGATACAGAAACCCTTGTCGGAGATATATGCATTTTTAATCCAGGTTAATTATATATTTTTCTTTTACACACTGCTGGAAATTGAAATCTTATCACCAAAAAAGTCAATTTAGAGGAATAAAATATAGGAAAGGCAATCGTAATAGTAACATTGTTATTTGATTAATCTTTCAAAGTCACAGGTTAAAATAGGCGCGAGAAGAGCTTTTATACACAAGGGCCAAGTCAGTTAGTTACTACTATAGGAGTTTAACAATATGTTTGGAATGCAGTGCATTTTGTATACGCATGTATATTTAACTTATTATTACCGTTCTATCGTCCTCTGGTTTATTTTACACATTGTACATAACAGTTTTGTATCCTTCTGTTGTATTGTCATGGTGTTAGTATTATCTGCAAAAAGTCTGCCTGCTTTGTAAAAACAATCGGCCTTGTTTTCCAGCGTATATTACTTTTTGAAACAATAAATGCAGCGTGTTCTGTAGGAAATCTCAGTCGAGATAGTATAATTTCGTTTATTTTAGCTCCGTGACTAAAAGCTATCTTATCGACTCAATATTACCTCTCCGTGACCACAACTAACAACATTGGATACATCCCCACCAAGGGCTGCGACATTAAGAAAAGAAAATCCATCTTCTCGTAGCCCTATTATACCACCTCGTTCGAGCTCATTAAACTGTTGATACTGCCTTTTCCATTTCTTTAAACGCATCTTTGACTTAAATCTCGCTCACAGCGCCTAGTCAGTAAGACAAATAAAGCACAGGAAATTTGCATAGCGTATTTAAAGTAAACGAGATGTGCATGTTCATAGTGGCACCACACTTATTTATCTAGTGCGAAATTTCAACAGAGGTACAAACACGCCTTCCAAATTCATTTTATCTAGCACAAGTACTTCTTGATGTTGATATGTCATTTTTCATCAGTGTATTTCTTTTATAATTAAGTAATTTTGATTAATATTTCATATCTTATAGCTGAAAAATATACTTGGACGCAAATACTGCTTGCAATTTCAGTAAACTTCACAATTTTAAATGCACAAAAATGTATTTTTGATAGATGTTTAATAGTGCCAATTCTTTTCTCTTTTTGTATTTGCCTATTTACTCAAAATTCGAAATTAACAGAATCTGATTTCGCTCACGATTATGTTGTTATTTACAGATCCGACACGGTTTAACCAAATCTGTTACATTTATGACATTTTTAATAACTCTATAAACCACAAATAATAAATGCTACTTTTCGAAGACTCTTTAACTGAATATGTAGAAAAATGTGTTCTTTGCTCTTAATGACATTTTGATTTCTAAAAACAGATATCTAGTTTCGACATATAAGAAAGAATATGGTCAGAAAAATTCTATCGAAAGACATTTTACGGAATTTCATGACAAGATGGATTACATTACTTTGTTAGGAATTAGAATACGGATTGTGGTGCTTTTCATCCAGTAACATGTGTATTGTGGTGTGATCTTAACAAAGTGATCTAATATAGGTAGCAATTTTGACCATTACTTAAAGCAGCTAGAGGCTGGCTTATAAAATAACAGTGGATTGCGAGCACCAGTTAATATCTCGAAATAACATTTTATACTTATCTCATTTTGTAGAGTCATTAGGATTTGTTTGAAGCAGGAGACATGAAAAATAAGCAATGGCCTTGCCTGTACCTGACACTGATTGTGCTACCGTTACACCACGAATGCAGGCATAAAGAAAAAAGAAAATATCTTGTAAGTTATACTTAAATAAGGGGACATTTTTGTAGCTAGCAAAACCGTCTTTGAAGAAATCATGTAGAGTCAGGTTAAACAAGTGATTCTAACTTCTATTTTTTAGCGTTAATATTCATCGAATTTCAAATAAATAAGTTATACCGGGTGTTTTAGTACCACGTTCGAAAACTTCTAGAAAGGGCAGGGTGTATTCCGACGACTCTGAATCTTAAAGCAGTGTAGGGTTTGAAATGACTTTCTGACGCTGTAATGTGGTTTAGACACGATGGAGAACCTTTCCATTTCAGCTGTACCCTCCTAGACGTCAGATTAGCTAGATCAACGCTAGATCTGTATTTGGGTAGTCTAATAATAACAATAGCAATAACAGTAGTATTCACGACAACAATAACAATAACAATGAAAATAACAATAAAAATTATAATAATAATAATAAATAGGAAAGTAAATTATTCAAAAACTTTTAGACAAACTTAAATAGGTCATTTATACAAATGTAAGTAACTTATGCATACGAAAATGTAGCCACCAATGCTGCTTAAATGTACTAGAAGAACTATATTTGGAATATAGTTCTAAAAATAACAACAACAGTAATAACAATATTCACGACAACAACAGTAATATAATAAAATAAAATAACAGCAACAATTATAATAATAGTAATATTAAACGAAAAAAAGGACTAAACTATTCGAAAAGCCTTAGATAAGTTTAAAAGGTAGGTATTAATTTTTACATACCGAACGTGTATCCACAAACGCTGCATAGTTATGCTAGACGCATATTTGAGTATAATAATAATAATGATGACAACAACAATAAAAAGAAGAATTAAAAATAAGAGTAACAATAGCAAAATAAACGAAAAAAGGATTAAAGTATTTGAAAAGCATTAAACAAGCTTTATAATAATACAATAAACAATAAATAATAATAATAAACGAAAAGATGATTAAAGTATTCGAAAAGCTTTAAACAAGCTTAAAAGGTAGGTCAGGTGTACAAAAGTAAATAATTTACACATACGGAACGCGTAGCTACAAACGTTGCTTAAATATGCTAGAAGTGTGTTGGAGCAGTTTAATAATAACTATAAATAAAATAATAATAAGAAGAAAAACATGAGTAACTATTACAACACTAATAACAATAAACGAAAAAGTTATCAAAACTTTCGGATAGCCTTCGACTAGCTTAAAAGTACGTCAGGTATAAAAAATAGGTAATTTTTAAGTAAGGAACGTGCAGCCACATATGCTGCTTAAATACACTCTAAGTATAATTGGAAAGTCTCATAATAACGATAACAACATTCATGATATTAAACAAAAAAATTCTGAATGTTTTTAGATTTAAACAGTTGCCCCAAAAGTTTTCGCAAAGTAATTTACGCTCTCGCTGAGCTCGCAGTCAACCAGTTTGCTGTTGCACTTTCTCTTGCTAACCTTTTATTTATTTTTTTATTTATTTATTTATTTATTTTTTTAGTCTTTTTAGCTTTATCGGTAAGCATCGATTTCTTCTCACTTACGCCACATACACTTCAATAAAAAAATCTGAAATTTTTAAAACTTACATTGCAACATTCAGAACTTTCAATGCTGTTTACGATGTATACAAAACTCTACACAAACATTTTGAATGTTGCCTATATTTATTAAATATCTTGTCCTTTGCATTGACGCCACATAAAATTAAATTAAATTGCAAAGTCGCAAAATATTTGAAAGTAGTATATCTTTAGAATTTCCGACATACAGTCTTGTGTTAGAGATAAAAATGTTTCATTCGGGACAGTGTTGTCACTCCTAGCTTTCAAATCTTTGAGTTAATGAAAAAATCACTGAAGTTTCACAAAATGTAAAATAAATAATAAAGAAATATAGTTCTAAAAGTGATTCTATGAAAATGTTGAACAGTTTTAATTAGATCTATCACGAATTAAAAAAATTATTATTAATTATTATTATTTAAAATTATTATTAATTATTATAATTTCAAATTAATTATATTATTTAAAATTGTTTTAATTATTATAATTTAAAATTATTATTAATTATAATTATTTAAAATTATTTTTTTATCCGAGTCAAAAGTAAGAAATGCCTATACTTAACAGGTGCATCTATTGCTTTCAAACTGCTTAGCTTGGCACTCCACAACAGAGATTCAGTTTGAAAGAAAAATGTATTATATTTTACTGAATAGCATCAGCATCATTTGACTGGTGAAAAGACGCATTTCGAGGCTAACAGCTTCTTTTGGGCTAACAATAACAGTAAAAATAACAGGAACTTTTGTAATAATAATTAATTAATTTAAAACGGAATAAAGTTTGGTAAAAAATGTGTTTATTATACCTTTTTATAGTTTGATTAGAAATAAAAATAAGTTCATTTCATCCGTGGCAGAATGTCGAAGGATAATATTTCACATATCACAGTTTGTCAAGGAAATGCTTAAATGTCTGCTGATGGCATAAGCGGTTGGAAATAATCCACTATTGAACCTCAATTTCTTCTCTATTCTGAGAGCAATTTAAGTAAAAATGTAACTATACATTCCATTTCTGCTATATCAACGCCGCGAAAGGTATTCAACAGGGCTATTCAGGTATATTGCTGGTAAAATTTACCTCTCATATTGTAAAATGGCATTTGCTGCCTCACATTCCTATGTAAAAATATTTTGCTTATTATGTTATATGGATTCATTTTTAAAATTTGTCTAAGAAATTTGAACCAACCTGTATTATGGATTACTCTTTGCTTTTTAAGTTACCCTATTTGGGTTGGACATTGCCTTGCACAGCAGATAATTTGTATTTTGATGTGAGTTTTCTCTGAAATTTTAGCATCGAGATATGTAAAATACAAATGATAAAACTAAAATTTGTATACTCTATTCCTTTTTAAAAAAGGTTGAGCAATATTGGAATTTTCCAAAACTGAAAGTAAAATATTTAATTGCATCATTTCAATTAGAAGATAATTAGCGAAAAGAACCTAAAAAAGTCTCTTTTCCGATGTTATTTGTGACTTAACCAGATGAATTTCCGTGAAATAAATGTGACACAAATTTACACTATTTTCAAGTTTCCATTTTATCTCTCAGAGAAATAATAAGGATATAAGATTTTATGTTTGTTATCCTGTTAGTGTATTATTGTATTTTGAATCTTTACTACAAAAATTTCTTACCGTAATCCTCACCAGAATGCAAATTAGTTTTTTGTATTTAAGCCGAGCTTAAATTGCTACAGTAATCTCTGGAAATTAGTGCGAGAAATGAGTCTCATAAAGTAAGAACATACCTGAATTTGCTGCAAGGATGTATAATCCAATGTCCTGCGGCTTTTTGCCGAATTCTTTCTTTCATAAGAGCTTTTTTGCTTCCGAACAGTTTCATAGCTAGTTTATTGTCTGAAGGCTGGAATAAAGCTTCAAGCTGGTTCCTCATGAATCCAGCTTTGGCTTCGGAAATTCCCGGCCCTATTTCTTCTTTGGGAGTACCATAAAGACTGACGTCATCTTTTTCATCTTTATTATTTTCTCCACCAGTGGCACCTCCTTTGGCATTCGGAGGCCCACCACTACCTTTGCTATCCTTAAAGTTCATCTCGGGTGAAATATAATCGTTGACTAAGTCCTCGTCGGTGGCAGTGACAAGAGAGTCTGTTCCTGTATGTGTATTGTCCACCGAAATCTTTATAGAGTCCTGGCGGTTGATGGGGCCCCCTTGCTGCCCAGGGGGCCCCGTTGCGTTATTGCTGTTGGAACTTGCTCTGTTGGTAACCTCCGTTGGGTTTTCTTCTTCTGTTGGTGTCCCGTAACTGATGCGGCCGTTGGCCAGGCGAAGGCTTGGCAGACGTTGAGAACGAGGGCGACCCTTCACAGAATCTCCGTCAGCTGCGTCAGAGCCCCTGCAATAAATAAGAAAATTGTAAGACTGGTGTAACAAAATGATAAATAATTGAACGATTCCAATTATTAATAAGGGTTATCTCATTTTTATGCCGTCGGAAATGAAAGAGGCACGGAAAATTCATTGATTTGCGAAACAGATGATTAAATGTTCATACAATTTTTTATAATATTTTTCTCTTCTAAAACTAACTAATAAAAATTTGATACCAGTAGATATTTTTGTACGTTGCTACTGGTTACCACTCTGTGCCACTTATTTTATTCATTTTCTTTCTGAAGAGAAAAAAGGAAACATAAAATCATTTAAAAGCCTGGAAGGAAAAAAAAAAAAGTTTTGTCTCTGACCACAGCCAAACTCGGGATGTTTGAATAAGAGACTTATGTAATTATTTTTGCACTACGAGAGCACATGGGAGTGACATTTAAATGAAATACCTCTCTTTTTTTAGATGCATACATTAAGGCGACTGGGGAAGCGCAGATGAATATTAGCCGGCCAATGGAAGTATAATAAAGAATTATCATCAATCTTCTTAATTCGGACATCAGATTTTCGAATTAAACAAAAACAAATCAAGTGCATGCAGTTACGAATAGAAAAGGCAGCAAAATTATATCCTGTGTAATGTTTTTGAATACAACACGACTCTGTATATATTTTATTGTATGGAATTAAATAAAGAAAATTTATGTGGACAACAGACTTTGGAAGGAAAGATTCTTTAAAACTGATTACATCTTTAATTGAAGTCGAAAATGGGATCTTCAGATTGTTCACTTAGTGTGTTAACTTTTCAGAACTAGAGCGCTTGACAGGGAAGTTTTTGAAACCTTATATTCTCTCCCTCGTATTATTAATAAGGATTATCTCTTTTTTATGCCGTCGGAAATGAACTTTATCAGTGATGTCAACTTTTAGTCGTTATTTTGAGCCGAAAAAGAAAAATAGTGGAATTTTAGCCGAAAATTCTACCCTTCCACACTTAAGGAACACGTGCAAGTAACTCGACCTCTATGAGCTGTGACCTGACTGAACAGTTCCTCTACTCCAAGTTAACCATATGCACAACTGCACATTTGGCGATTATTTGCTATACTTCTATACAGCAGTCGAACAACGGTGAATGATGCTATTGAGTATGATATATTGATAAAATATATTCCCGACGTATATGTCTTTTTCGCTGCTTCGATAATTACTGTCTAATCTAAAAATAATTCCTCCAGTCCACAAACGGAATTTTTTGTTTTTCGTTTAATACTTTGACCTTACTTAACACGTTGTACGCATTTTGAAATTATTATACGCATAATAAGAGAGTACATAAAATAAACAAAATAACTCACAATAAGCAAACAAGAGTCGTAGCGCTAAGATATTTTTGTTAATTTTAATTATATCCTTCATAAATAAAACCACTGCTTATTTACGAAGCGAGCCGCATGCGGCTCTTCAGTTTGCTGGAGCAAGTTTACATGGGTTATAAAACTTCCAACAATACCACAACAAATTATGACCAAAGCTTATCAGTATTCTCTGCATTTTCAGTTTGTTTGTTTAACAGTTCATGGCAAAGCACTATTTACCCAAATAAAGGATGCCATAGTGGGAAACCTTTTAAGGAAAACTGGTTTCCATTCATATTACATATGGAGAAAATTCCTATGCTACCAGCTAATTCGAGAACTTCGCATTTTCTGAAATGATGAAAATGTTACTTAATTACTTTACTTACTTTACTTTTTTTAATTTAAACTGAAATACAGTTTTGGAAACATTGGTGTTGCAAAATGTGTAATCCCTGTTTCCAAGGGATAAGTAGATCTTATCCCTTGGAAACATACTTTTATTAACTTTACTATTCAGTCCTTTGAGTGAGTTTCTCATTTTATTGGAATGCTTTGCATGATTAATTAAACGAGTTTTTTTGTGTGCATACTTATATTTGGTATATAATTTCCTTTTCCCGAGATTTTCCAAGGTTTAGTTTTAGAAATTCTTTTTAAAACAATTTTCAGTGTCTTTAAAGCTTTAACTATTCATTAATGCTGACTTTATGTGCCTAACGCTGAAATATCAAATATGACATAGAGCCAAAAGGTTAGAATGCAGCCATTTGCCATACATGTTAAGCTTAATGATTCATTTCCTTTTTAAATAACAAGAAGAAGTCATAACACATATCACGGAGACGATTTTTTATATTTTCTGCTATGAAATTTAATTAAGTAATGGTAAATTAAAATGAAAGTGCCGTCTTTCGAGGATAAAATATGAAAGTTTTACCGTTGTCTTATCGTTTTTTAAGTAGTATGTCGAAGACAGAAACGTCAATCTAGCTGAGTAAACTATTTACTTTTAATAATTATTAAGGAAAGGAATTATTTATCAATCCCCGCATTTTAGTTTTCCTTAATTTAATTTGTATGGATTTTTTTAAAATCAGAATTACAAAGAAGAACATTTTTAATCATTCCAATTCATGCTTATTTAAATATTTAGCTCTTAAACACGATCAAATCAAAATATATTGTGTGCTGAGTAATTTCCATTAGAATATGATCAAACGGAGAAGAGACGTTAAGTAGTCTGCCCTGTGGAAGTTAGTGCTATTAATTAGTATGCTAATTTGGGAAACGGTCGTCAAATTTGAGCCAGTTAAAGGCAGCGGACTTAAGAACCATTTAACGCCGGAATAAGCGGGCAAAGTTGCGAGGTTGCGACACATACAGGGGTTGGACAAAAATATGGAAACACCTTTAAAAAAACATGTTTCTTTGCTTAATATGGGTTAGGAAACCCGTTGGCATCCAAAACAGCTTGCAGTCTTCTCGGAATGGATAAATACAGTTCCTGTATGTTTGCCAGGGGAATATTATACCATTCTTCCTGCAAAACGGTGGCAAGTTCAGATAACGATGTTGGCGGTGGATAACGAGAACGCACTTTCCGTTCCAATGTAGACCACAAAGGTTCAATAATATTCAGGTCTGGTGACTGTGGTGGCCTGGGGAGATGGGACAACTCATCCTCGTGCTCAGAAAACCAGTCCTGGACAATGTGAGCTATGTGAACAGGGGCTTTGTCGTCTTGGAAGACACCATCACCATCGGGGAACAAAGTTTGTACCATGGGATGAACTTGATCGGCCAAAATGTTCACATAAGTCTTGGCAGTCATGTGCCCTGACACAGTTATCATGGGGCTAGCAGAGAACCACGATATGGCTGCCCAGCATAACAGAACCCCAATATGTTTCACTCTTGGCAACAGTCTGTATTATAGGCTTGAGATGGTGTTCTCCAAACGTAAATTCGGCCAGAAGTGGGAAACAATGTGAAAGAAGACTCGTCAACCATATTACTCGCTTCCACTGCTGTATAGTCCCAGGCCTTTTATGACTTAACACCACCTTTTCCTGTTAACGGGCATTAGCATCACTAATGAGTGGCTTCTCATTGCAGCACGGCCAGCAATTCCTGTTTATGAAGCTCCCTTCTAATTGTTTTGGTACTAACAGGGTCGGTAACAACATTCATTTTCAGCAGTAACTTTTGCAGCTGTGGTCTTCTTATTTTTCGTCACAATTGTCCTTAATGATCGTCTGTCACGATCACTCAGGACACACTTTCGTCCGCGCTGTGATTTAGCAGATGATGTTTTTTCCGCTTTTCAAATATGCGGAAATCTTCGATACAGTACCTCTTGAAATACTAAACACCTCGGCTACCTTGCTTACAGAAGCACCTACCATACTGCTCCAACAATTTGCCCACGTTCGAAGTCTGTTAACTCTGACATAATGCAATGATAACCTCACATAACAGTACTCCGACACACAACTGTTTAGCACATTTACGAAGTTGTATAGGGTTGTCGAGTCAAAACCGCCAGTCGCCACCTACATATTTCATTAAAATCAATCTTTCTTTTCAAACATGCATTTCACAAGGTGTTTCTATATTTTTGTCCATCCACTGTATATATGTGTGTATATATATATATTTATATGTGTAATCTTATCTATGTTTGTCTTATTAAGTAAATTCACAGATTCTTATTTTTAATAATAATTTAAACCCTGACATTATTATTTTTGTTAAATGCTTTACTAGGAAAATTGAATGTAAAACTGCGCAAACATGTAATAACGTATTGAAGATTGAAACTATAGAAACTTGGAAATCAATTACAGTAGATTGATAAAATTGTGTTTTAGGAAATTATTATTTGTGTTGGAAAATTTGCGTAATTCCTTTGTGACTGCGCTGAGCAGTAAAAGGTAAATTATACAGTCTCGCGGCGGAAGCCAAGAAAGTGGATAAGATTGTAACATGAATCTAGCACGGTATTTTGGCTAATTTACTACTAAATGCCTATCTAAATGAACTGTCAAGTAGACGCAACTCTTGTTGTACTAGTCAAGTTCTTTCATATGCTATTCATCATATGGTTTCAGTAATGGTTCACTAACTATTCCATAGTCAGATATTATATGTTCATGTGTTTTGTTAAACTCAAGGAAAGCCAACCATTCAATCTTATGTTTCCAACTTACAGCAAGTGTACTGCTTTGGTAGAGAACCACGTTTTACACTACTCCGTATTATTCTCAAGATCCTTCAAAAATTCAATACAACAACTTGTAGTAAAATTGATGATATAAAATGCATTTTTATAGTATTTTATTTGTTTCGTTAATTCTCCTAAATACGGATTTGCCTTCATATTTGTAATGTGTTCTTTTAATTCATACCTTTTATTCCTCTTCACCAGTGGAATAGACTAGTCCATTAAAGATTGCTCTACCATTCATCATTGCTTGAAGAATAGCTTCCGTTTCCCTTTCAGAATTAACTTTCATAATCATATAAAATTAACCAAGGGAATGTCTTACATAATGATGTTGCCGTATGTTCTTTTATACAGTAGTTTTGCTTCCAACGAGTAAAATCAGAGATTGCAAGATTTTTGCATAAACAAAAATTTCAAATT